TCCTTTTACTGAATTCTCAAGAAATCCAATAAGGAAGTAGTTAATATGCTACAGCAAGACCTTATTTTCTCCGAAAATATATGTGAATTCCACAAAAGAGTGTTGAAGAAGAGCTGTACCCAGGTCGATCGTTCCGGCCATCGGATACTGCAAGAACCGGCAGGAAAATGCGGAAAAAATCATCGTATCCTGCAGGAAAATATGGGAAATAGCGGGAAATGGAAGAAGTATTCCGTTCGGAAATTTTTGGAATTTGTTTCCGATGATTTTCCGGTCAGTTGCTGCCGGAAAACACAGGAAATTGGTTGGAATTCACTGGAAAATTTCCGACAGGAATACTGCTTCTATGTTCCGGCGATTTCCGGTGTTTTTCTACCGGAACCAGACCGTACTTTTCGACCTGGGTATAGATATGAATCTCCTTCATCCTGTTACACATGATAGACATCGTTATAAATAAATTTCTTTCATCACAGATCATGATAAGCATTATTTATATACAATCAAACGTATTATTTAAATAAGGTCTTGCTGTAGCATATTAACTACTTCCTTATTGGATTTCTTGAGAATTCAGTAAAAGGATAGCAAAGAAATGTATCCCAAAATGAATAGCATAATTATAACAACGTCTTTGTAATCGTAAGAGCAACTAAATCATGTTGCGTATTTCAATTTTGCTGTTCTTAAATAATGATATCATATCAACGAATGCTTCATTGATAGGAGTTTCCATATAATTGAAATGTAATGAAGAAAGATCTAAAAGAACAGTTGTATTTCGATCTTCAATGGAAATGTATTTGTATGCAGGAGTAATATCCAGCATGTTCAGATTCTTTTTTATATGTTCGATAAACTTAAACTTATTTTATTGTCAAACATTCGTTTAGCTATATACTGATTTGTTATTAATTTACTATATGATTCAGATAAAAAGTACGACACTAGGGAATACTCATATAGTAACCTTCATCCGATTTATCAAAAAAGACCAAAATTTACCTTAAGATTTAATTGTGAAATATATTTTATAATTGAAAACAGCCCAGGTCAAAGTCACCCTGTCGGATCCTATCGGATCCGAAGCTTTCCGACAGTTTCTGATAGTCGGAATCCGATCGGATTCCGACTGCCGGAAACCATCAGTATCCGTTAATTTAAGACGATTCCCGATGTCGGATTTTGTCGGATTCCGACAATAGGATCCGATGATATCCGACAATGGGAACTTGTCGGATCCGACGAAATCCGACGTAAGGACATATCCATCGATACTTTTATTTTATTTTTATTTTGTTTCAATTTAATTTAACCTAACTTTCATTTTATTTGTTTGTATTTTATTTTTATTTATTTTGTTCTAGATTTTATTACGGCATGAAGTCAATCCACGGTAAGTATAAATTTTTTATTTTAATATATTTTTATTTTCTTGCACGTTTTTTATTTTATTTTGTTGCAGGATTTTTATTTGGTTTTATTTTCCTATATTTTATCCTATTGTATTTTTATTTTTATGTTATTGTTTTTATTTTTATTGCATTTAATTTAAGTTATTTTTATTGTATTTTATTTTATTGTATTTTATGTTATTTTACTCTTATTTTTAATTTTTTAATTCAACACTTGATTTTAAAAATAAATTAAAATAAACTGGATTTAAGCTATTAATTTGCAAGTGATTGCACAAGAGGTAGGAAGTGGGGTTCAAACAAGATCTAATGTTCAGGCATGAATTCAAAAGGATTCCATCGGATCCTCAGTATATCCGACGTTTTCAAACAATCGGATCCGACCGTCGGAAATCGTCGGATCCGACATCCGACAACTTTCGATCGAATTACCGTAACAAGGATCCCGGCAACTTCCGATAGGATCCTGTCGGGTTGTCGGATTCTTCGTCCTGGGAAGTATCGTAGGAGAAAGCATCTTTTTATCATGCCTACCATCATTCAACAATAAATAAAAATAAAAACTCTGTATCACATTGATGCGTATTTATGTCGACTTCTTTTTTGTTTGTTGGCTAGGGATAAACTAACAAAAAAGCTCAGAGAAAATCAAGAATTTGAAAAATTTACGCCAATTTTTTTTATAGAAAATATGGTCACAGTAATGAATTTGGGAATAAATCTAAGACTACGTTAAAAGACCTAATTAAACTCCTTATAAAAAAATTCAAAATTATTTTACCATGTTTTTTCTCCTTCTTTTTTTTCGATGATCGGTGATGATTTAAGCATGAAAATAATTTGAATTTAATTGCTAGAAAGCATGTTGTTGTTTCTAATTTAATTGCTTTAGGAAAGTTTTCGACGAAGATATTAGCAATACTTCGTTCATTTGTATGTCCAATAAAAGTATCACATGAGAGCATGGTTCCAAAACTATAAACCACACGAATCTCATCAGAAATTTCTTTCAAAACTTGACTACGATCTTCAATATCATCAAGGGCTTTTGTCTGAATATTAAACCAAATTTGACGATGATCACTTGTCAAAATATCAGGCAAATGAAACCGTATAAAATATGCTAATTTACGATCGTAACTGCTTGTTTGCTCGATGTCAGATTGTTCTAATGGAATTGTTCGAATTTTTTTTGTCAATGCTAATTTAGCATTTATATTATTATAAATTGTACGAGCTGCTTTCGGATTTAATTGTAAGTTCTTGAATTGACATGGAACTCGATCATCTTCCGTGCACATCCTACTATAGATAAAATAAAACAAAACTATGATCAATTGTCAATAGTATCACGACGCTTTGAATTATTCAAGCAAGCTAGATATATTCGCAACAACTCGATCATTTCAAATGCTTGTTTTTGTCCTAACCTCTCTATGAAAGTATTGTCTATTTGAGAAAAAAGATTTTTGTATTAGATAACAAGATAGAATCTAAGTATGAATGGAGTACCGCGATTAGTGTAAGTATTGTTTTCATGTACATCCACATCATTAAGTGTAGTAGTGTGAGTTTTGGTATTGTGTATGGTTCCTGGCTTTTAAAATAAAAAGGAATCCTAAAAAGCAGATGATATTTCAAAATACCTACAAATATATAAATGTTAAAGAATAGAAAGGAGTATATGTAACTATAAAATACTGAATTTTACTTCTTTTGACTTTCGATGATTAATATCATTCGGAAAAATAGATGATATGCTTCGTTCGGGAATCGCATCCATGATATGATAACTGGTTATCCGGACCAGTGCTCTAACCATTGAGCTATCGAAGCACGACTAACATATCATTTATTTTTCTCAAGGATATTAAGCATCGAAAGTCAAAGAAGGTAAAAATTCAGTATTGTATAGTTACATATACTTCTTGCTATCCTTTAACATTTATATATATTTACCCTTTGATAAGAGGAGAATAAAATTCACCATCATGTCCACTTGATAATAAATAGCGTCGCTATATCGAGGTGCGTCGTACACATCCTGTCGACGTTAAAATTTCGATGATTTAATATTATTCAGAAAAATATTTGATATATTAGTCGTGCTTCGATAGCTCAATGGTTAGAGCACTGGTCCGGATAACCAGTTATCATATCATGGGTTCGATTCGCGAACGAAGCATCTCATCTATTTTTCCGAATGATATTAATCATCGAAAGTCAAAAGAGGTAAAATTCAGTATTTTATAGTTATAATACCTACAAATATGTTCGTAAAGCAAACAAAAATTTGAATTAGAATCAATCTTTTTGGAAAAGTAAAAATTTCAATACTATCTTGTGTTTTAGAGTTTTATCTGAAACATCATTTAACACATAAAACTGGTAGACAATTCTATATTCTTCAAAATGAATGACTCAGTTCTCTCATAATTGCGTGATGCAGGAGATTTAATATTTGAAAAAATGAAGCCTCCCTTTGAATATTGACAACTGTTAACATCTTGAGTTTCTAACTTATTAGTATATCATGTTTTTCTCGAGAAAAACCGTTTACATGATGTTTGGTGCGCAGCATGGGTGAGTGGTTATATGTGTCTAACACATATTCACTAGTTACCGAGTTCAAACCTCGGTGACAATAGTCATGTAATGACTCTGGACAAGTCACTAATGCGTGGTTGTCTCGGATATCTCTACCCGTTAAGATAGCAAATAAACATTCAATATATATGAGAATCCGATCATGATCTCCCCTCTGGGGATCTCGTGCCGGTCACCAGTTCGGATTCAAAAAAGTGGAGCGTTGGACAGAAAGGAATGCAGCTGCCGCTGTTCGGAAAAAGAAAAAGACGATAGAAACCAACCATGAGCGAAGTTAGTAGAAAACCATACCAGCTTGGACGTCGCCCGAGTGAACGAGGTCCGCGTCCTCTATCGAGTAACCAGGACAGAGTCGAAAAATTGGCTACTGGAAAACCAAGAAGGATGAGCAATGAGAGAACAGGCATACGGAAAGTGAAACTAGTCAAAAAAACACTGACGGTTGGAACGTGGAACGTTCAGACATTATGGAGAACTGGGAAACTGGAGTTGCTAAGGAACGAAATGAAGAGGTTCAGGTACGATATAATAGGTATTTCAGAAGTACGCTGGGCAGGCAAAGGCGAAACATGAAATGGAAATTTCATCTGGTCAGGAGAAGACAACTCACACGTAAGAGGCGTAGGACTGCTGCTGAGTATGAGAGCCAGAAAGGCACTCATAGGATACAATCCGATCAGCTCACGAATTATCACAGCTAGATTTAATGCAGCAGCATTCAAAATCACAGTAATGCATGCACATGCACTGACATCCGCGTCCTCAGGTGACGAAATCGAAGAGGTCTACAGCACGCTCGAGGACGTACTAGCGAAAGTCCATAAGAAAGACATAGTCATCGTAACAGGCGATTGGAACGCGAAAGTGGGTAGTGATAACACAATTTGGAAACGGATAATGGGAAGATATGGATACGGTGATAGCAACGAAAGAGGAGAGTGCCTGTTAGAGTACGCAACTACACATACCTTGTACACATGCAACGCGAAATTTGAGCACAAACCACAACGAAAATGGATCTGTGCATCGCCAGATGGCGTACACAAAAACATGATCGACCTAACACTCATCCAACAAAGATGGAAATCATCGGTCATCAACTGTAGGACATTCCATCGTGCTGACATCTGCTCAGATCACTCACTAGTATTGTGTAATATAAGGTTGCGACTCAAAAAGATGTACAACAAGCTGCATCAAAAAAGCGAAAATCGACGTGAGCTAACTAAAAAACGACAGGATAAGACAATGTTACGGTAATAAAGTAGCAGAAAGCATAAAAAACATTGAGCCAACAGATAGTCTAGACGAGTACGCGAAAATAATAGAAGATGCTATCAAAGAAGCAGCAGATGCAACAATACCTGCTAGGAAAACAATCAAGAAATCTTGGATATTTGAGGAAACATTGAAACTAGCAGATGAAAAACGAAAACTGAAACAGACTAAGGATGATTCGAATCACAAGGCACAAAAATACAAAGACCTCTGCAATCGAGTCAAGAAGGCAGCGAGGCAAGATAAAGAACACTGGATACAACAACAGTAGAAAGAAGTCGAAAAGAGCTTAGCAATCGGAAATACTACGCAACCATAAAGCCTAATAAAAATGCTAGGAAGGAAATTCACACCTCGAAGAAATATCATACAGGATCAATATGGACGAAATACTGTAGTAGCCTATACAAAGATCATGGAGGAGGCGACAACATGGTGAATGATCTCAACAAAATCACATTTGAGAACACAGAGGAACCACCGAACATCCTGTACTCCGAAGTAGAGAAAGCAATACGTACATTGAAAAAGAACAAAACTCCAGAATCAGATGGAATCACAGGTAGGCATGCACCGAACCCGAACTTTCCGGAGTTCGGTGTTCACGGGTTCGGTCATTCCCGAGATTTGGTTATTTCTGGGGTTCGGTGGTTCTCGGGTCCAACCGATACTAAGCTCTGGCTCAATCCAAATCTTCCTTCAATCTAACACAGTTTCAGTAGCATATAAAGGACGGGGGACGTTTTCCGTTGTTATCGGCCCCCATAGAAAACATTATCATTTTTTCATGAAACTTTCATTAATTGTAGGGCTCATAGTCAGTAGTCACTCCTATAAATTTCAGCTTGATCGGTCAAGCTTTTGCCTTACTTTGGTGGTACGCAAGATAAGCCCCAAAGTGACCCATATTATTGACCTTGCGCACCTTCGTTTTCCTCTATATGATTCAGAACCGGAGCCCTTTTTTTCAGCATGAATAGTAATTATTAAAAGTTTCAAAAGTACCCGAACAAGTGCCTGCAACAAACCTGTCTTTGATGTTTTATGAAGCACACACTACCTCCAATATTGGTTAAAATACGATATAGTGAACTTTGTGTACCTTCGATCTTCACTATGTGATTCAGAAGCGGAGCCATTTTTCAGCATCAATAGTAACTATTAACAGCTTCAAAAGTACCCGAACAAGTGCCTGGAAAAGTGATGCCTCCTAGCATTTTCCGAGAGCATGCCGTCCATCTTATGGCAAAAGTATGTGAGACTTGGTATCCGATATGTAAGAGGTGAATTAGTTTGGAGGGAAGTAAATGATTTCCTAAGTGAATATTTCATTCGAACTGATACAGAATTTTACCGTTTAATTTCTTGTAGTTCAAGTGTGGTAGATTAGATTCGAACTTTGTTGTAAGGTGGAGAAGAATGCTTGTTAATGACTTCTTGAGGAGAAATATGATTAAAACTAAGATAGTAAGGCTCGAAATGCGTTAGCATAGCTTGAAGAACAGTAGTAATGGTTTGAGAAATAGCTTGAGGATTTCAAAATTGAAAAATGGTAGTAAAAATTTTGCTGCTAATTCCTGATGTCAGTTTCGTTAAGAAAAGTTCGACTGCATTCCGAAATGAACGATTAGATCAGTGTTTAATGTTGGAATCGACCAGAAACTTGATTAGGTGCTCAAAGTTTAATTTTGTGATTCCAGTAAGATTGTAGCAATCAGATTCTGACATTGCAAAAGGAGAATCAAAATCAAAATATCGAATTGAACTATAATGATATCAGAATTCGTCAAACCATGTTAATATATCATTGGAAGAGAAAGATGTTTGGATAATTTGAAGCGGACGAATTCTATGTAAATCATCATTAATTAAACGTCCATCAACAACATGACATGGAGAACATCGACTACCCTTTGAAATAAAAATATTGCTTTGAATAAATAGAATATCTTGATCTTCATCAGGAATAATACATATTGAACTCATATTCTCTCGACACACTACACAATGGCTACAACACAACAGTATTCTATTTGGATTATCGATTATTATCAAAAACATACTGATGAGATGAAACAGTCATATTCCACGGTAAAGTCACAATGTTTGTATCAACCGGATCATTTGATGACGCTGCTGTTACACATTCACTATTCTGATCATCATTGTAAAGAAGCAATCGATACGTAATGACAACAATATGATCAGATAATCTTACTTTATCGTCGTTGTTGATTATAGATTCGTTTGGTTCATCTTTGAGACGATTTAACCCTCTAACAAATTCAGTATTATTACGCCACTTTAAATAAGACATTCGACATGCATTACGTATCGATCCAGAGTCCGGCAAACACATATTTGTTGGTGCAGAAATAAACAGACGCATTGTTATGCCATGAAATGGATGATGATTCTTGGAATCAATACGACCATTACAACAAACACATTCTATAATCATTTTTATGTAAGTGACTGTGAGGCTTTCCGCTAATTATCCGTTACTTCTGCCCCCGTGATATACGTAAGCCGAAAGATAATTAGTAAAATCCATGTTCTATGTAGGGCTAGAAATCTGACCTAACTATGTCGTACCTTAGTCTTGATTATTAATAATATGGGGATGCAATAATGAGTTTAAGATTCATCAGTCTGTTTATTGAAAATATACATATGGTGAGGTAATAATGAAGATAACAAACATAATATGGGAGAGGAAAGAATAAGCTTATCGAAAAAAAGGTAGAAAAAAAACAAAAAACTATAGATGAATCAGAGAGAAGAAGATCGTGAGACTGAACAAAACTGTGACCACTTAGAATAATAAAAAAGTCACTCAAGAAAAGTGCGGAAGAAAACTAGATATATATAAGGAGAAAAGACGGCCACAGACTACATGAAAGAGGACAACGGAAGTCAGTGAACAAGGAACACTTTACAAAAAATTTAACAGCGACATAGTGTCATCTGTCGACGCTAACAGTGACTCTTATTATGATCAGTAGAAAAGTAATTATCTTTCTTTTTTTCTCTCATTCTCTCTATAGAACGGCAATATTCATGCATGCCGTTTGTTTCTTCATAGATATTACGCAAACAATTTCTAACACTAACACTATTCTCCCGCCTTCTATGATCAGTCATTGAAAAAAGAACTTTGAAATATTTCGTGTCCTATCATCAATTTAATTCATCAATGGATTTCGAAGATACGTCATTAGTATATGTGCCCTTTCTGAAGTCAAAGTCTATATTAAACTGTATTTCGCATACCATACATACCATACAGTTGTTTTGCAGCCACTTATTCGAGTACTTTTGAAGCTGTTAATAGTTACTATTGATGCTGAAAAAATGGCTCCGCTTCTGAATCACATAGTGAAGATCGAAGGTACACAAAGTTCACTATATCGTATTTTAACCAATATTGGAGGTAGTGTGTGCTTCATAAAACATCAAAGACAGGTTTGTTGCAGGCACTTGTTCGGGTACTTTTGAAACTTTTAATAATTACTATTCATGCTGAAAAAAAGGGCTCCGGTTCTGAATNAAATGGTTGAACAATTGTAGATTGTGCAACAAATGAATAACTTCCCAAGCAATTCTCTTCTCGTGAATAATAGCGAAATTCAAGTGAGCGACGTAAATTAACCATTTGTTTAGCAAAAAAGAAACAAACAAAGACTCACCTGTGAGAAGGGGAATATCAATAAAGTAAATGCCAATAAAATCATCATTACATGAAACATATGTGGTTGGCCAAGTGACAACGATTGGTTGGTTACTTACATATCGTGTTACTGACACATTCAACTGTTGGACATTCGTTGACGGCAATAAAATCGAAGGAAATGAAATTCCCAATATTCGATTACAATTGTATGGACTTGGAACAGCTTTGATTGAATTTTGTTTAACAAACACACTACTATCAATGACATAACTATTGCATTGGACAACAATAACAACAAGAAAAAAGAGAGTACACGTCATTGTATGCAACAACATTGTTCTAAAGGTCTTAACAAAACCTTGGTTTCTCTACTATCATATGATATGATGACAAGAAAAGTACACTGATGATGTAGTTTTGTTTTATTTGAGAAAAAGAATATAAAACAGTACACGAAAAGATTTAATATGTGCCCCAATGTTATGATAAGCTAAAAAAATTGTCTATCTTTATTGAGTTTTAACCAATTCAACTAATGTTTTCTTTTGACGATGGAAGATAGTTTTTAGTTTTATTTATAAGTAATAAATTGAGCTACATTATTTAAAAGTATTACATTTTAGTTCAAATGAGAAAAAGTCACAGTTTTGTTGAAGATGAACGGTAAACTTTAAGCTTCTTTCAAAAAGATTTTGGTAGCTTTCAAACTTTTATATAATCGATTAGAAAACTTCGAATGTTGATGATCTATTTGGTGCTCCTGAAACTTCGACGAATTCATTCAAGTTTATGCGTTAAAACATCGAACACTGATGATGGAGTGCAATACGATTCAAATAAGCAACTTACCAACCATTGATGAACAGAAATAAATATATCTTTTCAACTAAAAAAAAACACATTGCCTATACACTTGCTGAGAAATAATCACTTATAATTGACACGAGTTTCATCTCATTATGTTTGATTACTCTGAGTAGATTCATGTTTTCTCTCTTAAAGTTTCTTTTTCTTACTTGAGTTATAAAAACAAAAAATACACGCTATCGTACAATGCTACTTGACGATCAAACAAGCAGCAATTAAAAATAGATGACACATAGATTCAGGTACAAAAACTAAGCTTACAAATTACTGATATTTCCAATTCATATCATTTCTCATAAGTAATTTCAATATTTAGCTTGGATGACTGTCAAAATAGATCTACTTTTAAATTTTGATTACAGTCTAATAAACGAGCAGACATATTCTTTTTCCAGATTTTTGTTTATTTTCTCCCATTATGTCACAAGGAATTGATTCCGCTGCAACAGTTTTCTTAACAATAGCTGTCAAACAAAGGCTACATAAAGATGTTTAGAGTCTTGTTTATTTTTCTAATTATGTTGCAAGCAATTAATTCCACTATCATAGTCGATGTCAATCAGACTATATTTAGATGAAGATCAATCAAACAGATAAATGTCTAGCATGCAGTTGTCAAAATAGTTTGAAAAGATTGAATCCGCCACCGAAATAAACTCTGATTATTCTAATAAGTGACAACAAGAATTAATACTTATCTCTAACGAATTATTCCAACAAAATATTATCAATGAAACTCTTTCGATTATCGCCTTCTTTTTGTCCACCAAGAATCATGCCGCAATTTACATGAAATTTTGATGAATCTTGACATTCACCAAAAGAGAATGAACGAATTCAGATTCGAGCAATTGTTCAGTAAATAATTTATTTCATTTAGTCACATGTTGACTGACGAACAACTGAGTATTTAAATGAGACTTCATTTTACATAATGTTACTCTGGTTAGGAAAAGAATGCATAAGAAATATTGCTTACGCTGGCAGATCAAGGATGAACTTTTTGTTATGACAAAAAGTGAAATTGAGATATATTTTGAAGTATAAGGCAGCATCATTTGTAGATATATATAGGTCATTTTCATACAAAACGACAGACAACATTAATATTTTTAATTAAGTGATTAATAAAGCGTGATAAGCAATATTTACAAAACAACATAAAGACTGCTAATCTCATAGTGTTTTCGCTCTTATTTCGTAAAATGCAGAGATTGATGAAGTCAAATGAGTTACTATGTTATTTTAGTTGATATTTGTCATTCGCTTTGTAATGAGAGAATCTATTTGAACTGTAGTTGCTGTAGGTTGAATACGACGATTGCTATAATAACCTTGCCATCGTTGAATCCATGCATGAATCTCCATTCTTAGCTCAGGTATAGCAATGGTAGTTGTCAATGGAGACAAAAGGACAGTAAGATAAATTAAACCGATTAAGAACCAATTTGCATGAAGCTCTTGAAGAACTGGAGTCGTATGTAATATATTGATTACAGTGGCAATGCTGATAGGCAACCAGGAAACATATAATAGTCCTGTAACTGCGAAGAGTTGTACAATCATTGCTATGTTCTTTTTCCAGACATTAGTTTGCAGCATTCGACGCTTTTGTTGAATCACTCTTGAAGAAACAACGAGATTGCAAAGAATGACAACAAACAAAGGTAAAAGTAAGCCAAGAACCCAACTAATCGTACCGATAACAGGTTGTGCCGCATGACACGCTACACCACAAGCTACAGCATTATAGTCAAAATGATTTTCGCATGGATAGAAAACCACAAGTGAGAATGTAGAGAATACTGAAGTGAAAATGAGAAAAACCATTGGTACATAATGTAATATAAGCTTATATCTATCAATGTCAAGTTATATGTATTACATATTTCAACAAATGTTGTGCCTTACTTATGTAAAAATACATGATGAAATATTAGCAAATAGCGTTCGATCGACAAATAAGCATTCAATTGAAGAGAACATATATCAAGAGCAGAGATGAGAGTGAACCAATATTTACAAAAAGTATCAGAGGCAACAGCCACTTTACCACGATAGAGATATATAATTGTGAGAGGTAAATCAAATGTAGCCTAAAGAAACACTAGTATATATATATATATAAGAGTTTTATTAATAACAATTTTTACTTGTACGAAGTAAACCAGAAAAATGCATAGAACCATTTGATTGTTTAGTCGGTTTCGAATTTCTTTCTTTCGTATGATACCATATAAGACGAGACATGAGCAAGCAACAGACGGAAAGATTAGAGAGATCAAAAAACTAAACGTTATTTTCCGACTAAGCTCTATATTGAGTATAGGGGATGGAATAATTGTATTGCTCTTGCTCGATGATGAATTCATTTGTTTTTACACTTAAGCACGGTAATCTAGAAATGACCACCCAATCGATTTACTATCTTTCGTAATCATATCAACTATAGACATGTCGAATAATCTCTTACTATAAAAAAGAAAGGATATTACAGAATAATATTCCGAAAAGCGTTTTTTTTCGCGACATACTAAAGATGAAGAATTCAAAAATAATTTGACCTCTAGTATTTGAAGATAGTAAAATATATATGCAGATAAATTAAACTGTCAAGAAATGTTTTTTGACCATGGAAGAATAAGAATATATAGCTATAAATCTAGGAATATTTTCTGTTTCTCGATTTGAACACTGTTATTTAGTCAAGAGCTTCTATCTTAGCTAAATCAATTATATAATACCTATGGAACATACTACTTTTTTTCAATAGTTCTAAAATCTTTCAACATAATTCCTACATGAGTTTGATAGACATAAAAGAAATTTAAATATTTGTCACATATCTGTGACGTTGGAGAACTCTTTCTCGTCTATCTATTACAGAAGGACCATCACATTCAATTAAAGAAATGCTCGTC